TTTAATGCAATTACTGCTTAAACTAGAAGTAAATCCTATTATTATTAGCTGGACTGCTGCGGTCCTGTTCCAGAGGAAGAAAGTACTCAGATGTGGTAGCTGGCCCTCAGAACAGCAAACGGTGTGTCCAGGCTTGCCACAGGGATCACCGATATCACCAGTCTTATTCAACGTGAATACGGTCATTTGAATTGAAAGGGAAGGACTTTGTCATTTACTGCTAACATTTCGATTTATCGACTAGGGCGTTAAATACAGGAGATTGCCAGCACAATGCACAAAGAACTAGATCGAATTGCCGCCTGTTAGGATGGTTCCAATGCCTATGTCAATCTTTCGAAGGCATCATTATCATGGCTCTCTTTAAACAATCACATTGTTAAGTCGGACATACCAGAAGTGAAATGTGTTATAATGTGAACCAACGTTATGACGTTTCTCGGGGTGAGGTTTGATCGCAGCTTGTCATTCAGGGAACATGTTGACCCTGGGATAACAAAAGCACGTAAAGGTCTATCTGCAATGAGGAATATGGCTGTTTCCAATATCGAGCAAAGACTACTAATACTGCTATTCTTCGGCCTGGTCCTTTCCCCCATAGAATGCGCTTTGGCCATCCTCACTGTCAGTGCTACCCAGATTAAACGACTTGAAAAGCTGCAAAATGAAGCCATGCGCATTTAGGGGGGGGGGATGTACAAGAGACACATCCTGTGGAGCAATGAGGTAATTACTTGACTTTCCAACGTTTGGATCAGGATCAGGATCTGGCCGGCTCGGATATACCTTAAAATATATGCTGATAAGAAACAGCCACTGCATCAAGCGCGTTTTAGTGAAAAGGGCGACAGGCTGAAGAGGGGGAAATCATGGCTAGGTCGGGCAGAAGATGTTATTAGGCAAAAATGCAGCCTAACCGACATCATCTCTGGTGCAGAGTGGATACCTGTGCCTCGTGCGTTTATTTGTACATTTTTCTGCATTGCCACACTCAACAGGGATGTAGAGAAGATAACCCTGTTGCTGTTAATGCAGAGGTCAACGCTCTCATCAATTAAATTCAGACGAAGCAGATGCACTAATCTACACAGGCGGATCCGTTATACGCCAAAAAAGAAGCGCATGGGCATTCACAGCACGCTCAGCCGGCAGAACAGTCAAAGAAGCCAACGACGCCTTCTCAATGACAACCAGCAGCATGACGATGGAGGTGATGGCAGTGACGCTACCGTTAGCCTGGCTCGAAAGACAAAACTACACCCGCATATGTATACTTGGTGATTCAATGAGTATGATCCGGAGGGTCATGCAGGTCTTGTCTTGACTTGTCTTGTCTTGTCCACAATTGCCTCACAGCGTAGTGGGGAGTCGCAGTTTTCTATCCCAGGCCAGGTGTGTTGCACGTGTTGTTGTTAGTCCGTGTTGCCTCAGGATCTCTGATATATTGTCTATCCATCGTACTCTCGGTCTGCCTCTTGCTCTAGGGCAGTAGTGCTGTTCGTTGTATGCTCGTAGAGGCAGTTGGTCGGTTTGCATTCGCATCAAGTGGCCAAACCACTCTATTTGTTGCTTCTTTATGTATTGCAGGCATGGTGTGATTCCTACAATTGCTCTAATGTTCTCGTTTCGAACTCTGTCTCTCCTTGTGACATTGGCAGCCTTACGTAAGCATCTCATTTCGCACGTCGTGATCTTTTTCTCCTGTGCTCTTGTTAGGGACCAGGTTTGGCATTGGTAGCAGAGGGTTGGTATAAACATGCAATTTATCAGTTGTCGTTTTAGTGCCATAGTGATGCTTGGGTGTTTTAGCAGTGGGGCATCACTATGGCACTAAAACCCATGTGTTGAGCACGGCAGTCCCGTCTCGAGCAAACAGAAACATATGGTTCGGTGCAAAAACAATGTCTTGAATGATTACAGAAGTCAACTGTTCGTGGAGTCACCTTTATTTTTGTTCCAGGAAACGCAGCCGTCGATGGAAATGAAAGAGCTGACAGGTTGGCTAGATCCGCTATCACTACCGACGGTCAGCCCTCAGAGAAATGGGAAGGATAGAGGACTTTGGGGGCAGTGAATCAACATCACTCGCCAGAATGACAGACTTTAGGAATTAAGATCGGCATAGCAAAAAACTAGACACACACCAGACATACCAAAAGACTTTGTAATCAACATAGAACTGGTACTATTAGCCATCGGACCTTGGGGTTCATACTGAGAGGAGGATCTGAGCACCTATGGACATGTCCGGAATGCAATGATGATAACCTAACTAACTAACTAACTAACTAACTAACTAACTAACTAACTAACTAACTAACTAACTAACTAACTAACTAACTAACTAACTAACTAACTAACTAACTAACTAACTAACTAACTAACTAACTAACTAACTAACTAACTAACTAACTAACTAACTAACTAACTAGCTAGCTAGCTAACTAACTAACTAACTAATAGTACTTCTTCTACTTTATGTAATAACAGCACTGTAATACAGCAACTGCTGTTGGTATCGGTGTTTATAGTATCATCTAGAACTTACTTTCGATAGGAGTCTCTCTAAAATATTAGGTGGAAGGGGTAGTTTTAAAGATAGGCAAAGGATTGCTTGCTTTGAAGGTTATGGCATCATCGGACATGTAACAGAAAATGTTCTATAGACTTTACCAACAACCAATTATTTTTGTGATAGAGTGTGGTTTTGGACTGCTAACACGATCACATACTCAAATAGAGAAGCTGGAACGTATACAAAATGAAGTCATTTTGAGATGTATACGAGACAGGCCTACTGTGTGTATGCGGCGCAAATTTGCGTTACCATCCGTATATGAGAGATACAAGGTTTTACAGGGAAAAAATGTACCTTAAAGTCGCAACGGACAGGGGTAATCTTCTGTCTGGGTCCTTAGGAGACAAGGGACAACGGCTGAAAAGATGTGGCTTTTGGATGGCATAGGCGGAAGTAACGATCTGATGTGTTTTAGTGAATGCCACCCAGCAAAACAGACTTGCACAGAGTGATATTTGCCTTGCACCGAGGATGCAAGGAATTGAAAGCTTATGAAAAAGAGTCTGTGGTGCAAGAGGTGTTCAATGAAAATTCACCACCAGGTGACATCAAAAATACAGATGGGTCAGTAGTGAGAGGTAAGAAGAGTCGCTAGAGTTTGATTACAAAGGCAAATTGACACTGCTTGAAAACAGAGAGCCTCGCGTACAACATTACTACTTCCAGTATGAAAATGAAGGCGGAGGCAGTAACGACCGCTTTCCGATAGCTAGAGAGCAACACAACACAACACGTTTGTAATTTTAACAGACTCACAGAGCATGCTTCAGAAAATTTAAACGGGTGCCCAGTGCGTCTGCATCACTTGATAAGATCCAGATCAAGAGCATACCATGGATTTTCGGTCCATCTAGTGTGCGAGGTAACAAACAGACTGATAGATTAGCTGCTGCCGCTCTTCAGGACAGTCAGCTAGTATGTGATAAAGCAGATGTGATAAAGACTCTATGAGGTCATAAGTAGTTATGTGCGGTAATTGAGGCCGTATTTGGGAAATCGATCGATTTATGCACCATATGTCTTTTCCTGCCCGGGAAAACCAATCACTTGTGCCGTCACCAACCGCCCGATCGATATTTACTAGGATATTTTACAAAGGATAAAGAAGGTTCCATTTTCAATATTACCGCACATAACTACTGTCATATGGATAGTGCACACACATACACAAAACAACAACAGATAGTTACTCCATGTGTAGAAGTTCTGGAAAATATTCGACATTATGGTGAAACAGGTTGTAACTGGCGGCACTATTGGCATATCAACTCTTCATTTGTTACTGAAGAACGGGACATAGCACGTATTGAATGTCCCGAGTGCAGTGATGTCCATTCTTGATTGATTGATTGATTCATTCATTTGTTTGCATCACTATCGCTTGATTACTCCTTCTCCTCCCCTACTTCTCCTTCTCATCTCCCTCCTCCTCCTCCTCCTACTACTACTACTACTACTACTACTACTACTACTACTACTACTACTACTACTACTACTACTACTACTACTACTACTACTACTACTACTACTACTACTACTACTACTACTACTACTACTACAACGAATACTACTACTACTACCACTACTTATAGGACTGCTGCTGCTGTTGCTACTACTGCTGGTGATACTTTTACTACTTTACTTATTTTCATGAGTGGTCTATTTAATTTAGCAAAGCACGAGCTGTCCCTATTTGATTAAATGAAATATATTTGATTAGTGATTAAATGATTACTGGATAAGCATGAACTTTTTTCTGCAGACGACTGTTCCACAAAACAGTGAAGAACAAGACGACATGTTGAAAGATCTAATTGAAATTGTATTGAAACTGGTCGACCGTGATGGCAGTGGAACAATAGACATAGACGAATTTCGGTAAAAATATTTTGATCTTTTTCCATAACCGTTTTTCAAAGCAAAAAAAAAAAAAAAAAAAAAAATACTTGATGTAATAAACTATAATTATGTAAAATACCTGTGTCATGCTCCCTGTTTACAGGCAGGATTACACCTTTACGTAAGCTGGCTGACCGTCTGATCACTAATTGTACAGGTTCTATTAGTCAAAATACTGATTACATGTTATTGTGTATCGATATCCCAGCACATCGGTTCAACCCATTTGTGCTATGTACTCTAATGAAGCATCCATTTGAGCGTCTTCAGGCTTAAAGTATTCCGCAGGTTTCTGCATGCTTTACCTCGTTTAATACCCATTTCCAACGGGTTGTTTATCATCGCTGACTTATCGTCTCAAAGTATTTAAAAGAAAGAGCATTTAATATGTCTTACCTGTCCATACGTCCTTAAGTAACAACTGCAGACACAACAAGTCTGTGGGATTTTTCATTTCCGTTCATCCCGGTGTGTCCTAGGATGTATAGCAAACAAAATTTTTTGAGGTCAGTTTCTGGGTGCTGTCGAGTCATTCCACTTGAAGTGTGCCATTTTGGATCTTCCAGAGTCTATCACTATTAATGCGTGAGTTGTTTTCTGTTCTGCTAGCCATGCAAGTGCCTGTGTTAAAGCTTGCATTTCTATCGTTACACTAGAAGTCAAACTGAGACCTCTTTTCTACAGTCACAGACCTCACAAAGTAGAGGAGTACTGTAGAAAATCATGTCATAATTTAGTTGTCCTCGAAAGTTTATCCGGACTGTACAGCAGTTCCATTAAGGTATGCAGGCCATAGTGCAGGAGAAGAGAAACATTTCGGACTCTTTCTCTGTCTCAAATGCCGGAAGGCAGGGACGTATGCTTGCACCAGCTTTATTTCAGTATGAAATTTGCTGGAATGCTTGTCAATGTCTTTGATCATGACGTCCAGGAATTGCTTTAAATTACCGTGCGAATAACAACGTGTTTAATTTTATGGAGCTTCGAGCCATAAATTGAATCAGTTTCATATAACGTGTCGCATAAAGCCGCTAGGACCAAATGACAAGATAGGATCCCAAATACTGTGGTTCTTGATAGGGCAAACCTGCCTAGCATCCACACGATACTGAAGAATTATCAATGCGTTAGGCTGGTCATCTAGCCAGGATGCCTGACTATTGTCTCCCAAAGGGAGTATTTTATGACGAGCTAGCAAGGGAAAAGGTCACAGGGAGAGGTAAAAGAGCGATTTACGGACATTGAAAGTTGTCTCAACTCTTTCGCATCAAAACAGCAACATAGGAGGCTGCTATACTGGACCCCTCAGATGACGTACCTACCTCACACACGATGCATCAGCCTGTCAGGCAGCGGAGGTTGCTAAAGTAGAGAAGATTTACTGCGAATTCCACCTGCTGGCCGCCTGCTCAAGAACTTTCCAGGCTCACATTGGACTAATCAGCCACCTGAGTTATCATAATCATTGATCATTAAAACTGTGGATGAAAAATGATCTTCATCACTTGTGATGGACGAACAACAACATGCTAGAACATGTTGAAGTAAATGCATGACTTTCTTTCTTTACTGTTCTCCTATTTATCTGCGTAATGTATGCCCGCCTAGATCTCACGCATCCGTATAGACGATTACATCACTTAACCGAGTGTGCTCTTTGATGATGAGCTTTATTTCAGAATCAACAGCTGTTTGACTTCGTTCTCTGCAATACCTGCCCAGCATGATCTACTATTAGTAGGTAAATATAGTCAGCCAACTGGATCAATCAACAATAGTCAAGGAAAGGTACTTACTAACACTAAAGATCAAATGGACAGATGGGTTGAATATTTTGAAATGCTTCTAAATAGACCAGCCCAGAGGTTCCCCCAGATATCAGCCTTTAGAAATGGAACTGGATATCAACTGTGAGATACCATCCAAAGAGGAAATTAGGAAAGCTATAAATCTTCTCAATGAAGGAAAGGCGAACAGGCCCAGACGGTATCCCAGCTGTTCGTCATCAGGGCCAACATAAACACATCAACAGAATTGCTACATAGATTATTCAGTAAAGTCTGGGAGACCGAAGAAATACCAGCAGACTGGAGAGAAGGATATCTTGTGAAACTGCCCCAAAAATGTGATCTACAGGAGTGTGAAAACTATAGAGGAATTATGTTGCTGTCAGTTCCTGGAAAATTATTAAGTAGAATTATTTTGGAAAGATTAAAAGATGCTATTGATAAAATGCTAAGAGATGAGCAGGCAGGTTTTCGGTCAAACAGATCCTGTACTGATCAGATAGCCACATTACGTATTATAATAGAGCAAAGCATTGAACTGAACTCACCACTTTACATTGGATTTATAGACTATGAAAAAGCATTTGACAGCATAGATAGGGAATCTCTCTGGAAATTGATGGGGCACTATGGAATCCCACAGAAAATTATCAGCTTAGTAAAGGCAACATATAAAGACATGAAATGTCGAGTTCTTCATGAGGGAAAGCTAACAGATGCATTTAAAAAAAAAAAAAAAACAGGCGTGCGACAGGGATGTCTTTTGTCGCCTCTCTTATTTTTACTGGCTATAGACTGGACTATGAAAACAGTAACTGCTAACACCAAAAATGGAATTCAGTGGACCCCTACAAAACAGCTTGATGATCTGGACTTCGCTGATGATATTGCTCTTCTGTCCCATTCACGGAATCAGATGCAAGATAAATTAAATATACTTAATGCGAGATCAAAGCAGCTTGGTCTGAAAATCCATAAGGAAAGACAAAGATAATGGTCAGGCAAATAGTAATGTGGTTTCTCTTAATGGCACCCCCACTCCAAGACGTGGAGTCGTACACCTATATAGGCAGTAATGTAGATAAAGATGGAGGAACTGATAGAGATATTAAAATAAGAATACAAAAGGCAAGAGGGGCTTTCATAGCACTAGGGAATTTGTGGAGGTCAAAAGAAATTAAAAGAAATACTAAACTAAAAATTTTTAATTCTAATGTCAAATCAGTACTATTGTATGGGGCGGAAACATGGAGAACAACCAAGGCAATTACTAATAATTACAGACATTCATTAACTGGTGCCTGCGCAGAATAGAGGGAATAAAATGGTATGATAGAATAACTAATGTAGAACTTTGGGAGAGAACTAAACAGGCTACAGTGGATCAGGAAGTGAGGAAAAGACGCTGGCGTTGGATAGGGCACACACTGAGAAAACAGGAGAACAGCATAACTAGAATGTCTTTGCATTGGAACCCACAGGGGCATAGGAATAAAGGAAGGCCAAAAAACACATGGAGAAGAGAGCTGGAGAACGAGGTTAGAAAGATTGGGAGGACATGGGGAGAGCTCCATGCAATGGCGAAGGATAGAACGACTTGGCGTGAGTTGGTTGAGGGCCTATGCTCCATTGGGAGATAGAAAGGCAGAAGAATAAGAATGATCTACCACAGAGTGCTCCTGTCTTTTTTTTTTCTCGCACATCTATCCATTCAGCTTGCTCAGTTTCTGACCCTCATGAAAAAAAAAAATCGCTCGTTCAGCGCTGCTGACATGTTCCACTTAGGAAAATTACCTAAAGTTTACCTCTTTTCTGCCATCCAGGGCCACTCCTTCTTGAGGCGTTTATCTTTGTCACCATTATGCAGGGTGTTTTATATGCTTCTTGTGTCTAGTCATCATGTCTTGCAGGACAGGGATGTATGGCAATGCATGACTGCAGTATTAGCCTATGACAAATGGTAGAAATAACTGCAGCACTCATTGATCTTGAGGATGCATACAACAGAGATCCCTGTAACTATGTCATCACACTGCTGACAGACAGGACTATTGACCCAACCATGATCAGCTGTGCCAGTATTGCTCTTGTTTACGAAGGGTATTGCTGCATTCGGAAGTGTGGAGGTCAAATCAGCGAACCATCATGCTAGGGCTACCCCAGAATTGCATCGTTGTTACCTGTTCTATTGAATGTACACAACAGTGACAATTCAACTGTAACACTGAAAAGTCTTTTGGTGAACATTATTCAACAAATTTTATCGCCTTTTCTCTATTCTATTACCAATTGAATTTCTTTGTGTGTGAGTGTTGTTGTTGTTGTTGTTGTTGATGATGAAATTAAAGAAATAGGAATTTTGATAGGATTAAGAGGTACAGGCATCTCCAAATAAAGCAATTTGGGGTTAAACTGTCATTTTAATACTAATACATAAAGTGTTCCGCGTAGCAACATACGGATGTGAATAGTGGACTATCACCCAGTCCTTAAGAAAGTGAATAGGGGCTTTTAATCTGAAATGCTATAGAGAGATTTTCAGAATATCTTGGACTAAAAAAAGGAGAAATACTGACAGCTCAAAAGATCTGAACATCAAGGAAGATTGGCTAACACACAGCATGCTGTCTCAGGAGCTGAAATATCTTGGTCATATCAAGCGCCACGACGGGTTTGAAAAAAATTATAGCGGAAGGCATGGTACCAGGAATGAAGAGCAGGAGCCCTCCAACACGAAGATAGGCACAGGATATAAGTGACTCCTTGAGCACGAAAGTGCATGAGGCGGGAGAGCTGGCTAGAGACCAAGTTTGTTTTGTTTCAGCTAGACCGTGATGAGAGCGACGTTCTGCAAAGGATCTACAACATGATGATGGTGACATGAAGTTTACTTTAAAAAAACCTGGGCTTAAAAGTTGAAATACTAACGACTTTCAACGCACTAAAACACATTTTAAAATCAAAAGGAAAAACAATTTATATAATGTGGACACAAACAATACATTGTAATATTCATTGATTGGCATGTTTCGCTACATCCTGTCAGGTGCATTACTACATAGTTAAATCAACATATAATAAAGCATTAAAGTGCTGAAACACATAAATCGCAATTTCAAGTTAGGCTGTAGATGTCTCCTGCGAAAATTCAAAATCAGCCCAGTGATTACCATGTTAACTTAACATTTATGACGTTATCTTTTTGTTCACATAAAACTGCACAGTTTATGTGTATTGATATAGTCCTGGTCAGTCTAATCTAATGTGTATTTAATGTAGGATTAGTAGGCACTATCTTTATTACCTACGTGTCCAGAGTCAAGCAAATTACGTCTTTTCGAAGAATGGAGTTCTTTGTTCTTGGCTGATCTTGAAACATTATCTACACTCAGCTGTATTATATAATGATTAAACACTGTAGTAATGCTAAGTAGAAGCTACTTTGATGTCTCGTTTAAATGTCTGTTTGACACGAGACGCTCTTTTTTTCCCATACCTAAGGGTACTTGCAATAACAAACAAAATACATGCAAATGATTGATAGATTCTAAACGTGTGCTACATTCCTCCAGTACTTTAAGTTTCAACATGAAATCTTCATAGTTTGGTATCTTCTTCCTATCATTTTCAGAGATCTTGTCAAAAAAGATGCCTTGTATATTGAACTGCTGGGACAGGTCCTACCTGATAGCAGTTTTACTCAAATGTAGGTACTATTGTTGGATTTTCAATTTTTTTTTCTACAGCAACTAAAGTAACTACAAAAGCTACAATTACTTACTAGGGATAACTATACAGATTACTAACGAAGATTTGAAGGAGTTGGCTCCCTTACGATTTTTCAGGCAGTGTTAAAAAACACATTGAATGGCCATTACATTTTTCTCCTTTAAAAATATTTATTTAGAAAAGGAGCGGAAAGGTTGGTAAGAAAATTGTGGGGGTTTCAACTAAACATAAATATATAGGCTGTGAATAATGCGTGCCATAATGAAGATATGTTTTGAAGTAAAGATTCCGTATTCCAAAACAACATAAATGAGATTAATTACAGTATTGCTGTAACTTATGCTCTATCAAGACCAACAAGCAGCAGTCAGAATAGATGGAGAGACATCAGACTGGTTTGGCATCAAGCAAGGAGTCCGTCAGGGATGTGTGCTGTCACCGTATTTGTTCAACCTGTACGCCGAAAATATAATGAGAAATGTAAGAGATTATATAAACAAGGAACAATATGATGCCCTAAACATCGGTGGTCATGAAATACCAGAAATTCGTTATGCTGATGATACAGTATTACTATCAACATCACAAAATGGTTTAGAAAACTTATTAACCTCACTTCAAAGAAATAGTGAAAAATCATAACTTATTTCTTAACATAGCAAAAACAAAGATAATGCATACAAACAAAACTGCCATGGAGAAGGAAATAATGTTTAATGAGGAAAGATTGGAAGTGGGGTGGAAAAATTTCGAATATCTTGGGTCACTGGTTACCAACAATGGTGACACAATGAAAGAAATTAAACGGCGACTATCAATTGCTCTTCAAAGACTAAAACAACTGAATAAATTATGGAATTGTACAGATAGAACTACAAAGGTCAGATTTTTAAGAGCATGCATCTTTCCCATTGCAACATACGCCTGTGAGACCTGGACACTTACTAAACAAGCGAACAGCGCATAAATGCATTTGAATATAATGTTACAGACAGGTTCTAAGAATATCTTGGGTAAAGAAAAGAACAAATGCATCCATACTTCAAGAGCTGAATATTGAAGTGGGTTGGCTAGTAAAGACAATAAAACAAAGAAAATTGAAATATTTTGGTCACTTGAAACGTCATGGAAGTCTAGAGAAAACAATAATGGAGGGGTATATGCCTGGGAAGAGAGGAAGAGGAAGGCCAAGGAGAAGATGGGTGCAGGATGTGGCAGATGATCTCCAGATGGGTGTATCAGACGCAGGACATCTTGCTCAGGATAGGAAGGATTGGATTGGCTTTTTACCCCACCAGGACATCACACAAGCGATAAACACCCGATGACACAAAGTGCCACAATGCGGATGAGGATCACCGTGGAGAGGTCCCAGAAACCGCGTTCAGACATTTGGCCATAATGATGACCTGCCTATATTGCGGCCCCTGGCAATAGCCAGAGTGGGGCTTCAAATAACAAAAAATAACGTCCTAAGAAGGACGTAAGGAATAGTGAATAAGGATAGGAAGGTTTTCCGGAGGGTTGTTATGGCAGCGAGGTTCCGCGAGGGACATGCTACTGAATGAATGAATATATAACTTATAAACATTGAGTATAAAATCTAAAAATCGAATTTTCTTCAACTCAGTGCTGTCACATAATGCATGACATGACGTAGACCAGTGGTTTGTCAGCTCTGGAAGGCGCACCCATGGGAGGCGCAAGGAATCCTAAGATTGAGTTCAGTTGTAGCTAAGACTGGCACTATTAACTGCGCGACGCTGATAAATATGTTAAGAGGGAAATCTGAGCGCCTATGGATGTGTCTAGAGTGCTGTAAAGATAATCTGAACCATAACTCAAAGCCGAATAATGTTGTTATTTGCTACTTTGATTTATGTGGAGGTTTATCCCAAAGTTTGTGTCCATAGTGGTTAGAAGTTGCTTTTTTTCCCTCCTCCTTTTATTCATGTTTTTTTAAATTTCGGGTATGGGTAGTGAGTGTCTTGCCATATAGTCAAAGGGGATACAGACTGAGAAAGGTTAAAAACCAATACAATATATATATATATATATATATATATATATATATATATATATATATATATATATATATATATATCATTGTTTGTGTGTTTGTTTATGATCTATAGACTCGGAAACTACTGAACCGATTTAGCTGAAATTGTCAGGATATGTTTGTTTTGATACCGGAGTTTTACCTGTCATGGTTTGAAATTCTACCTGTCATTGTTTGAGATAGATGACGACATTTGTTGGGACAATTTTCGAAACTAATATTTCCATTTTAGTGACATTTAATGAAAACCATTTTCGTAAATGCGCATGCGCAGTAGTCGAAACGAACGAATTTCACCATGCATGCGCAGTAGGGGCGCTCCATTTTCAACATCCGCCTGCGACAGGAAAACAATTGCCTACGGTTTTCAGTTGTGTTAGAATCTATAAATCTCTCAAAAGGTAAGCGCATTTATTTGAGTACATTAGTCAGAATGTACATGTTTTTTGTTAACTTCAAACATTTGTGGACCACTTCTTAAATCCCGCAATGATAAATGTATACACATTATATGTTGGCTATTTCATACTCATATTGTCTAGCGTGTATTAAATTATGAATATTATTGTTATTAATATTTTTCTTATTATACAGAACTGCTACAGTTTAAATGTCTGCACAGTTTCAGTTGGCTTTCCTCTGTTATTCAAAATATTTTTTTTTAAATTTACATGAAATTCCGTCTCAGGTCAGTGTTAGAATTTAGAAATATCTAAAAAAGTGAGCGCATTTATTTCAGTGACATCAGTCATATGTACATTTTTGGCTATTTTCCGAATAACGGTCCTAAATTACCGAGGCGGAAAATATATCCTAACAGAGCCTCAGCCACCTGTCAATTGCGAACTTCCGGTGACTTAAATTGCGCACTACCGGCGACTTATTATTACACAGAACTGCTACAGTTTACATGTCTACACAATTTTACATTTACATGAAATTCCGTTTCAGGTCAACTGCAGGTAGTCTGTTTCAGTCGCAAGACATGTATACCACAAATCTTACTACTGCACTGAAAACCTATTTATATCGTTTACCGACTTTTCTAAATATTTGCTGCGCAATTTCTATGCATTTCCTCTTGATTCAAAATAAATTGTTATCTCATGCTTATCTTTTCATTTATTTCAGCCGGGCACTGGACACCTACCCATTCATATCGTTTACTGGCTTTTTAGAATATTTGCTGCACAGTTTCTATGCATTTCGTTTTAAGTCGAAATAGAATGTAATCTCATGCTCATATTTGTCCTTCATTTCAGCGATACTTCAAGTCACATTTCATTCAGTGCATGAGGACGACAAGCTATTGACGATTAACGCTGTCTAAATTCACACGCTGTTCGCTATTTTGCCAAACATTTGCAGTTACGCCTCCCAAACGACAAGCAATTGGCCCATCTACACCTAGAGCACGCAAGAGAAGGGCATCAATTCCTTTAGAAACAAACGAGCAACATGAGGTAAGACTTGTTCACTGCCGAAGCCCGTTCGTCTCAATCATACCAGGAACGGAAAGCAAGATTAGAAAACGTTCGAGCGCGCACTGCTGAAGCCAGATCGTCTCAGTCAGACGAGCAATGAGAAGCAAGACTGGAAACCAATAGAGTACGCACTGCTCAAGTCCATTTATCAGAAACAATCGAGCAACTGAAAGCAAGACTGGAAACCGTTAGATTGCACACTACTATGTCCAGGCGAACACTGCATGTTGATTTGAATCTTGGTGCATTCTAATACGACAGCAATTATGATTACAGTCTTCATCCACAGGTGCTTATTGGCAAAATGGATAAATTGTGCGTACATTGCAGTGCCTTCAAATTTAAGAATGAAACACTGGGACTGTGCTGCGTAGGTGAAAAATTTAAATTGCCAGTATTACATTCGTCACCCGTAGCAGGTGACACAAGCCAGTCCAAACATTCGCAAATACAATTCATGTTTCAAAATGACATCATTCGGCGCAACAAATATTGTGCGTGAAAATTACATGCCGACATTCAAAGTGCAAGGCCAGATTTATCATTGTGCTGGCTCACTACTACCACTGCCCAACGCAGATTACAAATTTCTTCAGATTTATTTCATGTTAAACACTGATCAACAAATTGATCAACTTTGTCTGTTTCAAAAGGGAAAACATTGAGAAATAGTCGCTGCTTTACACACTTCGATCAACACAACAAATTAATTAGATTGTTTAGAACTGCTCTTCAACAAATACCACCTAATGACTACAGAGTTGTACTTAGAGCTGACAAGAAACCTGTTGGTTAACACCAAAGACAGTACAATGCACCCTTAATTGATGAATTGGCAATTGTTATGGTTGGTGAGGTCTTTAACTGGCGTGACATAATTCTTCATCGCAGAAATGGTGATGTTCAGCGAGTCTCAGAAAAACTCATCGCCCATACGACGGATTGGAATATCCAGTTTTATTGTGGCAAGGAGACGATATATATAATTTAAACATCAAATTGAGGAATACAAGGGATTTCTTTCCTAGAGACGCTAAGTTGGGTTTTGAAAAAACATTCTTTCGCCTGATCCCAAAGTGTCAAGACGTGTATACAGTCTATGTAGAAATTGGCGCATTCAAAGTTTCATTTCTATCTTGGAAGATTTCCTAGGCTTGGGATGATACCTCCTTAGAGATCAGGCAGACGAATCACAGCCCAGCCAACAACCACCAACCCATACCCTTCTGTGCTCCAAGCATAACCAAAAGTCCTGCCCATTGTGCCACTACCTCAACATGGCAAGAGCTTGTTTGTGAGTTCCAGGACGAGTGGACAATTGCAGACATCTGTGTCATCAATCCAGAGAACCAGTCTTCAAAAGCTTTGTTGGGCTCTGATGCAGTTTTTGTGTCCTGACCTGTGAGAGAGACTTGTTTGGTTCCTATGCCGTTCC